ACTTATTCAGACATATTATTTGTTTATAAAATTTTAAATGGTTCGACTTTAAAGAGGGCAAAGCATAGGGCCACAGCTACTAATCTGATAATTGTTACTACAGAACTTCGCTTGCATTGTACATATCAATTAGTTAACCATCCTGCTTGATTTAATTAGAATCAGTATTGATTGTAAGCAAACTAACATGGGGAGATTTGATTAAATGTTTGTTCAATTTGGAGAGCTAAACAACCTCCAATGTTATGATATACGTTATACACATCTAAACTGAATAACCTTTCGTTTGTTGGTTTTCTTTGCAGGAGTTAAGGCTCATAAATTGATTTTTTAGTGCAGAACTGATGCATAAAAATAATCCCATTTGGCTGGAGAAAGTTGTAACCTAAAATTAATCGAGTAAGTTTTCTTTTATACAGATTCTGTTTCAAAATCATGTCCAACAAATAATTTGAAATGATCTATCCTCTTATCATGGTACCTGCAATGCTGTTTGGTTCGAATGGTCAGAGCCTACAGTAGTGTCGGGTACCTTAGAACGGGGTACCCCAAGCAAACATCAAAATAAAGCTAGAAGGTAAGCCGTGGGCCCCTCACCTGCCACGACCGAGCCCTCCTCCACCTCGCCTCGAGCCTCGAGCAGAGGGTCTCAGAACAAACTCCGCCTCACGTGAGGCTCCCCAGGGTAGGTCTCGGCAGGGGGCGCCGAGCCTCGGCAGGGGGCGCCGTCTCCGTCTCGCCCGAGGCTATCCAGGGAAGGCCTCGGCAGGGGCACATTCTCCATATCGCGTGAGGCGTCTCACGCGAGGCCTCGGCAAGGAACCTGATCTCCGCCTCGCGCGAGGCCTCATTCTCCGTGTCGCTCGAGGCTGGCTCGTCCGCGGTCCGTCGCCCCCCGCCTCGGCCAACCCTTCCAACAACTCGTCATGTCTCATTAATGCTTCAACCACTCCCGTAATCTCAGCCGGACGGTGGCTCAACGCCACAGGATGGCCGATGCGACCCGAGGTCGCATCAGCGCCATACCGGCCGGGACAGGGTACGACGGGGATTACCGGCCACTGTGTCCTACCACTGTGTCCACGATCAGCACCATACCGGCTGGGACAGGGTACGACGGGGATTACAGACCACTGTGTCCAAACGCTGTACCCATGATCGGCCGCCCGCTCAAGGCCTCGGCACTGTACACCGGGGCCTCAACGATCTTGGGGTTCGTGCCTGCCGAGACCCCCCCCCACCGCAGTGCCAGCCTCGGCATCGACCAAGTCTCGGCCTCGCGCACAGTCCGTCCACAGTGGCTTGCACGGTCGCCGCCATGTCCACTCCGAGGCATTCCCGGGGCTCCCACGACGCACAGGATCTGATGGGATGACCACGCCGCCCCAGTACTCCAAGGATGGACCACTCCGATGGCCACACCGCCACAGGAACAGGCTACAGGCCCTGGACACGCCGCCTCTGTTCACACGACGCCGTATAGTCAGCTCATGTACCGCCCTAGTCCTCCCTTCATGCTATAAAAGGAGAGGACCTGGGTTGTTTTAAGGGAGAGAAAGACCTTGTAACACACACGCACACTCCTGCCGCCGGAGAGCAACGTCTCAAGCGGCCCGCACGGCACCCTGCCGAGACCTAGGACCAGCTCCTTCTCTCCTTTAGCTTGTAACCCCCTACTACGAGCACCTCGGTGCAAGGAATACAAGATCGATCTCTCAGACTGGAAGTAGGGCCTCGATTGCCTGAACCAGTATAAACCTTGTGTCTCTTTGCATCACCATCCGGATTGAGAGCACGCAGAACAAATTCACTGGTTGGTTGAGGACCCCCCGGTCCGAAACACCGACAAGTAGCTTGTTTGTGTTCTTATGTGGTCAGACTATGATATACATGTCCCTGTGCTGCTCCACATAGTTTTCTTACAGATGTCTAGAGGTCTAGAGGACACAGACACTAAACATTTTTGTTGTTTCTCTGATAAGCGAATTAGCTTGTTTCGTATATACTCTTGGGAATTGTAGGAGCCTGGCTTAACAGAATATTATAGCTACTGGATATGTTTAGGGTGTGCGGCAAGTCTGCATGTGCTTTTATGCACCTCCAGAGAGAGACCACAGGAATACTACTATAGTTCTGTTATTATAGCGGCATTTGCTTGGTTGTTTAACAGCACATTATCTATTATAATCTCTGATCGGATCCCAGGAAGCAAGAGCTGCCTTTTGACTGTATTATAGTAGGATATACCAGCTGGAATTTACTGAAGAAAAACACTAGAGGTTTTGTCCATGTTTGGAATACAATCTGTGTGTGACAAGTTTCTGAAGGGGCTCATTCTTGTACATGGTTATTGCGGAATACTCTCCAGAAATCTTGTCAGAATAGGCTAAAAGCTATGGCTATATGGTCATTGTCATCTGGTTTAAATAATTTTTGGTAGGAGTATCATGTGTACTCTCTATTTTAATTTTTCATCTGTTGATAAAATGATAGTAGAAACTTTCGGTTTGTGATGCAAATATGAGAGTTGAGTTCTTTTCTTCTGAACATGTGAAGTGACTATTGACCTGTTTGGCATATGAATTTATGCCTCTCCCAAGTCTAGGAGAAACTTCTTCAGGTGTTAAATATCAGGAATTTTTTGTTTACTTGGTAAAAACGTTCTACAATTAATTGATGAAGTGTAATGATTCGTACAGGATGGGAATGCACTGAGGACAAGTTCTTGGTAGAGATATTGAAGTACAACGACAACGAATCTAAGACAACATTCCCAAAGATATACAAGAACTTATTAGGCGTGTGTGAGGATTTAGGTGCCTTCAAAGATATAATAGTTGTGATGTTATTTATTTGAAATGTTGCTCTATAAGCATAATTGCAATGGACTCAACACTATGATAACTCATCATGAATCTCTTTTGGCGTGAATCTATCTCACTATTTCATTCTTAAGAAAAATAGTTGTTTGATTTTGATGCGCATCCTTTAAAGTCGTCGTGACGTTAGCACGGACACTATACTGTTATTGTTCTCAGTGCATTTTCCTATGTGCATGTCACGGAGTTCCAAAAAAGGGGTTTGCCACATGAGCATATCCTGTTAATTATGAAATCAGCAAGTAGGGGGGGTGTGCGTTAAGGAGCGGTTCTTCATGGTCGGGGACCTAGTCCTGAAGTGGAAGACGAATCAGGCTGGTGTCCACAAACTCGCAACCCCATGGGAAGGACCCTTCATGATCAAGGAGGTCACACGCCCTACGTCTTACAAGTTAGCTCGCCTAGACGGCACAGACGTACCCAATTCCTGGCACATCGACAAGCTTAGGTGTTTCTATGCTTAGCTACTAAGATATGTACCCCTCTTGTACTTTTGATTTATTTCAATAAAGCTATTATGATTTCTCCGACCATTCTAATGTGTCACTTCGAAGTCTATTATTATTCTAACTATACTAGTTAAAACCGACCACCATTCTCGGGTTTTCAGAGTAGGCCGACCTCGGCTGGACATGTCCGAGGGCTTTTGCCTCCCCATGCGCTGGAGCTAGGTACATGCCCTCCGACCACCGAACTGATCGAGCAGCCACGTCGACCACATCCCGAGCGGCTACGCCGAGCTCCGACCACGTCGACCACGGACCACGTCGACCATGTCCCGAGCGGCTCCGCCGAGCTCCGACCACCAGACCACGTCGCAATGATGATTGCCACGAAGAACGGCGCTATGACAACCGCGACCACCGTCACAACAGTCCGAAAAGCACGAGGACCGGACAACTTTATCGCCATCGACTAGATTTCTATCCAAAGATAAGTATCTACATTCCACACTAATGCTAGAATGTTCAATCTCGCCATGGCACTATCAAATTCTAGGTGGAGCGAAAATATTTATTACTAGGAGCAAAAATACCCTAAATATGTAACAAAGGTTTCGGGTCATAAATACTTGTATGTGTCGCAAAATTTGGTTCAACTTTTCTATAAAAAAACAGTAATTTGATTTATGTACATCAAATAAACAACTGATCTTCTCCGTCAAGAAATTGGGAGGCTTTCTTGTCTATAATTTCATGAAGTCGTGGGATGCCGCGGATCACCACTGTAAGCATATATAGTCTCCAACTATATTCCATACACTACATACAATACTAACATATTATATTCTATACCATGCGCAGCTATCATCTACACTAAGAAAGGAATTCTTGACTGACATTTTGACGAGTCCTGCAAACGAATGTTTCAACATCCCTGAAGATGTGCAACAAATGATAAAGGACTTACGCCAAATGTAACTTGGGCTACAATATAATAATTGGATAAAGGTTAAACTACAAAATAATAAATTAGATGTTTTTATGATCATTCTCTAGATAAAACCGTTGCGTTAGCACGGGCATTATACTAGTGTTCACTATGTAGATCTACTCATGTGGAGTTCAACAAAATTATATTTTCTATTTTATGATTTTTATATGATTTACTATAATTTTTAAAGATTCAATCGAAATAAATAAAAAAGAAAAAAAATCGTCTTTAATAACAGGTTGATGAATGGTTTCAAAAATTGAGAGAGATGTTTTGCTCGATTTTATAGTCGAGGAAAAACTAAATTTCATGATAGCTGAGGAGGTAAGGTGGATTTTTTTCCTTTCCCCTGCAACCAACCAGTGCCCTGCCCTTCGTCCCGATCTCATCGTATCCATCCGCCAATGCTGCGCCGCAACCCTACCCGCATCGAGCTCAGCTCCGACGACCGCTACGAGCTCGAAGAGCACCTCCGCGCCGCCGCGGGGAGCACCCCAGCAGCCACCATCAAGGATCCGGCCGGCTACACCACCCCGTCCCCGGTCCCGGGCCCGCAGACCTCCAACCCCCTCCTCCACCTCCTCCACCCGCCGCCGGGCGCCGCGCCCACCAAGGCCCAACGCATCGGCATCGGCCTCTCCACCCCGCCAGCCCCGGGCCCGAACCCGCGATCACCCCATCCTCCCCATGGAGGTTGAGATCAAGCTCCGCCTCCCCGACGCCGCCGCGCACCGCCGCCTGTCCGCGTTCCTCGCGCCCCGCCTACGCCGCACCCACGCCCAGCGGAACCTCTTCTTCGACGCCGCCGCGCGCACGCTCGCCGCCGCCACCGCCGCGCTCCGCGTCCGCCTCTACGACGGGCCCGACGACCGCGCCCCCGAGCGCGCCGTCCTCGCGCTCAAGCGCCGCCCGCGGATCGACGCCGGCGTCAGCCGCGTCGAGGAGGTCGAGGAGCCACTCGACCCCGCGCTCGCCCTCGCCTGCGCCGACGACCCCGCCCGCCTCGGCGGCCTCGACTCCCCCATCATCCGCCTCGTCGCCGCCGAGTACGGCGTTGGCGGGGACGCCGCGCCCTTCATCTGCCTCGGCGGCTTCAGGAACACGCGCGCAGTCTACGACTACGAGCTCGAGGATGGCGGTGGCGGCCTCGTGCTGGAGCTCGACGAGACGCGGTTCGACTTCGGGACCAGCTACGAGCTCGAGTGTGAGACGGCGGAGCCTGACCGGGTCAAGGAGGTGCTGGAGAGCCTGCTCACGGTGGCCGGCGTGCCCTACGAGTACTCCCGGAGTAACAAGTTCGCTTGCTTCATGGCAGGGAAGCTGCTTCCTTGACTTTTGATATTTAACCCTGTATTTGCGCGCCCCAATTCGCAGGGAAGCTGCTTCCTCAGTGACGCTTTGATTAATAATAGCAAAATATAAGTGTGGCTTCTCATATACTTTGATTTTGGTTTATGCTTTGATTTTGTGGTAAATGAACTTAATCCTGAGCCTCGTCAAATTTGATTTCTCCCGAAACCCATGGTGGCAGGGCAACCCATCTAATGTAGTGTACCAACTTGGTAGATTTCAGTACAAGAGCCCTTGTTAGACCATTGCCACCAGCTACTGTACATTCATTTTGTAGCTCAGAATTGTTACCTTGTGAGGGCGAATTTACATAGCATATATTTCTATATTGATCCGAGACAGATAATCATGAACTGAGACATTTGTATTGTAGTATAAGAGTCAATGCTACAACCACAAAAGCAAAGTTTGTCAATACGCATCTCCTATTCTTCCAATCGACGGAAGAATTGAGGTGCTGAGATTAGGGATTTAAGGTTCCGGGGTTACCAAGGGAAAATGGATTTACCGGTCTTAGAGAGGAGGTTTTGGAGGGGAAGGGAGGACTGGCGGTTCCATGGTGGGGCAGCAAGGCAGCGAGAGCCTCCTGGCGCGGGCTGCTGTGGACATCTGGATGGGAAGAGCTAGAGTGGTGGCGGGGGTGGGGGTGGGGGCGGTGGCGCCACCCGGTTAGCTCGGCCGCGGTGTTGAGCAGCGGAGGCAGACTCGGTGGCGGGGATGCTGCAACGAAGAAGACTCGGTGACGGATGGAGGCTGGCGGTAAGCGTGGGGATCCAATGGCTTCTGTTCATCGCTTGGAAAAAAAATGAAAAAAATATAGGCGCGTGAAGAATAGTTATTGCCTTATTAATATACAAAGCAGCATGAAGGATAAGACCTCGTTGATATATTGCGCTGTTCATTTGGCTGATAAGCCATGGTTGAAAGTACTGTTGGTTGATTGAGAGAAATACTGTTCGTTGGCTGAAAAAGTACGGTTTATAAGCCAAGCGAACGGATGTCAATAACATTTGGGCTCTCGATGAAATATGCTTATAAATTTACCAATCTCTTCTTCTACTATAATGGACCCATTAAAATTATACTAGATCCACCTAAAAAAAGTCTTTCACTGAGAGTCTCTAATCATTATGTACCCAGAAAAATACACACAATCAATTGTATCATTTCCACTAAAATCAAAGGTTAAAAACAAGCCTCACGAAACCCAATCCGACGGCCGATGGTAATTGTTTGATGCCAGGCTTCAAACGCCTCGCTGCACCCCGCGCGCCCTCTGTGGCTCCGCCCCATGCAAGCCTTCAACGCATCCCATCCTCTATCCTGGACCTGAAATTTTTATTATCATCTGCAATTTTTGCCGAGTCCGTGGCTCGGCGCGCCCCGGCACTCCGATCCCTCGCATCGTCTCCCCAATACCTCAGCCAGCGGCAGCTAAAGGAAACCCTAGCCGCCGCCGCACTCCAGTCGTCGTCGTGCACAGGCCTAAGGGGAGCACCAGCACGTCCTCCCTCCGTTTGCCGCGGGGGCGTCCTGCCTCCCGGCGCCGCAGGTCCCCAAGGCGCCCGCGCGGCCACCCAGGCCGGCCTGGCGGCAACTCAGGTCGCCCCGCGCGGCGGGTGACCACAGCCGGCCGTCCGCCCCCGGTCTCGGCCACCGCAGGCCCACAGGCCCGCCCCCGCAGAGGAGTACGCGGTGACGGTGGAGGAGGCGGAGGCGCACGTCTGCCGGCTGCTGGACATCCTCGCCTGCACTAACAAATCGAGGTGAGTTCTCATGCACACACTTCAATGCACTAACAAAATTGGAGTTCGTTCGCATTGGTGTAGTAGCCATTCAATTTGATTTGCACTTTTGAGTTGAATTGCAACCCTGCAGTAGCCAATTTAGGCGTGTGGGTATGAACATATGCCTAATGAAGGAGTGCATCTGTGCCCAGGTTAAGGTTTGCAATGTGAAGCTTCTCCTCGTTGTTGCTTCAGTAAAGGGTTTCTACTTGCAGGGAAGCCACACAACGTTAGCCACTCCCTGGTGGACCTGCTGCAACAGCTCAGCAATGCGTTTGCTAATGTTAGTAACCTTGAATCTTAAATATGACTGGTACAAGAACAGCTTAACAAACAAAAAAAGACAGTAAAAAAATGAGGGAAACAATTGAGGTTACAACCTGCAGTTTGGGAATTTTGCCGTATGGATTCCGTGTAAAAACCTGCAGTCTGGTAAATTATATGACTGCCAATTATTGTGCTTTTTTTAATGAAAGCTTTTGTGGGTCACAACAGCTTTTGTACATCTGAAAAGAATTAGTATATGTGTAGGTGCTCAAGGGTCATCATCATACTGAATTGGTACCTGTGCTTCTTAGAAGAAGTATATTACTAGATTGTTAAACTGCAGCTTACAACTGTATTTATACCTTCAGAACTTGAACTTCGTTGCTTGAGTGGTACTATATAGAAGTTTCTACTGTTGTGATTTATATACATTTGCCATTGGAACTTGATCATTTTTGTCTTAAACATCGTCTGGTCCATGCTCATGTGTACAGTAAATGGCTTAACCTTTATTTCCTGAGTGTATTTGCCATTGGAACTTGATCATTTTTTATGTGCATGGACGAAGTGTCACCGTAGCGTTAGCCGGGCATACATTTTATTGGTCATCCATGTATGGTTTTCCAGTGCATTTAATTTTGTGTACTTTCAGTTTCCAAATTATGCATCTCATATACTGTACTTTGGTAGTTCCGGGCAGCTAGGAGGGTGTCTGAAGATATTGGTGCTCAGCTTGTTCTTGGCGATCGCCCTATTGAAATAACTGTATGTAGCTTATTAGCGGAACAATGGTTTATTTTAATGGTATATTGGTATTTGTACAGTGAGCTTGCATTGCTAACTCTGCAAAGTACAGCTGAGAATAGCTGAGAATATCTGAGAGTATCTGGATATGATTTGACATATATAACTGAGAATCTCAGGTACTTCCATATTTCTGAATTCTAAATTCCATGAGCTTTCTGGTCTGGTTAAAATCCGTATCCTGTTCTTCATATAGGTGAATGGGCCTATACTGGTGGAGGACACTTGCCTATGTTTTAATGCACTCAAAGGCCTACTAGGTGATTTATTTCTACTATTGTTTTTCAAGGTCCTCTCATTAGCTATGTTCTATAAATACTATCTGACACTCAAGATTTAGGATTTTTAGGTGCTGCATATCATATTGTTGTTAGAGAGATTTAAGCCTTTTCTGTTTGGAGCTCCCTTACAGATTTATCTGGTTGCGGAGTTAGGGAAATTTGCATGGCATAATAACATATATATAATATATATCTAAAACTAGCTGTTGGGGCTCTTCATCCTGAGAACATAAAGGTTTATGAACTAATGAACAATTAATGTATATCAAAGAAGCAAATAAGGGGGTGTTTGGTTCCGGTGACTAATTGTTAGTCCCTGTCACATCGAATGTTTGGACAATAATTGGGAGTATTAAATATAGACTAATTACAAAATTAATTGAACAGATGGAGACTAATTTACAAGGCGAATCTATTAAGCCTAATTAATCCATGATTTGACAATGTGGTGCTACAATAAACATGTGCTAATGATGAATTAATTAGGCTTAATAGATTCGTCTCGCAAATTAGTCTCCAACTGTGCAATTAGTTTTATAATTAGCTCATGTTTAATCCTCCTAATTAGCATCCGAACGTAGTCCCTGGATTTTAGAACACAAATTGATTTGTTCTTTTTCAAACTCCTTACCAATTGTCTTGAATGGATCAACTTAGGTAACATCAATTTCAGAGTAATTCCAGGTTCAGAATGATCAAATAAATATTGCTTCAGGTTAACTTACACCTCAAATGCAAACTTGCAGTCAATTTTATCGTTGTCGCTATGGAAGCCAGGTGGTGATGTGTCTTACTGCATATGTTAAGAACAAGGCATCTTTTGCAACATGCAATCTGGAATGACGAGTCTTTCCTCACTGTAAGTATAAAGCGCATCATTGCCGCAATTACCGACAGTTATGTATTCAATAAAAACATTTGTGAACATAATTATTGTACTTGCAGTCGGTGAATGCCATGGATTATTCTATCCTTGTGGGAGTGGACAAAGGGAAGCATGGACTTGTGTGTGGCATCATTGATTATCTGAGGCAATGTACTTGGTTGATTATCTGAGGCAATATACTTGGTACAAACAACTGGAGACATGGGTGAAGACTTCTAGATATTGTGTATGGTCGCACTGTATCATCACGTATTGTTATATTTTTAATACAATATATATATGAATTGAGATGTTTCCTCTATTGTGTATGATTTTTTTAGTATCTTGTTCATTGGCAAACAAATATTTTCTTACAAATATTTTAGATATTTGTAAAGTCCGTAGCGTTAGCACGGGCATTATACTGGTGCACTTAATAGGTCAGAAGTTTTCAAGGAAAATAAAGATGTTTTTGACCAGACATACAGATTGCAATTTAAAATCAATTCCAGATATCCATGGGCATTGGGAGAATCTCATACTTTTATCCAAATTTCATCTTTGATTTTCCTCTCATCTCAAAAGATCTTGTGAATTTCCCATTGAATTATTTTTGTTATTAGAGGACTTTGGGAAGCAAAAGAATTATTCTGTTGTAGCCTTGTAGGGACAGATTGATATTAACTCATATAGTCTTCTTGTCCTATTAGCAGCAAAGCTTATGAGCATGTGGTGTCTAAGACTTGTACTGAAAATGTAAAAGTTGCTTTCTTAAGCAAATTATACAACAGCCTGATATATCGATGAAACTGGGTTTTGTAGCTCTGAAACTGTAATGATGGGAAAAAGGGTAATGCTATATCTTAGGTTAGAAAAAGGTTAACTCTTGCCCTGTGGTGAAAGGTTAAGGTTGGAAACCAGCATTATCTCATCTATATCGATGAAACTGTGTTTTGTAGCTCTAAAACTGTAATGGGC